GAGAAAGAAACTGGCCTGTAATAAGGGAGGTAAATTTTAACTGTAGAGAATTATGCATTTCCCATAATGAATTTGGACTGTGTAGTACCCTTTTGTTTAGTCTGAACACAGCTTAGTTTTTTGTTGGCTTCTTGATTCCTTGGCTACAGGAAAGGAGGAATAAAAAGAAAACAAATACAGGATCCTTTTGCAATTCCATTATAGTAATCCTCTCTGATTCAAACCATGTTCCACTGTTACAGACCTTAACTTTAGGCAACTGCAAAGAACAACAAAATGGGAGTAAGAACTGGAAGCAGAGCAAGAACAAGTTTGAATTTTAACTCAGTTTGTTAAACTCACTGCTTTCCACTGCTTAGTGCTGGCACTTTGGTGGACATCATCAGTGCTGTCATGGGTGTTGACTGGAGGGGTCAGTCACTCTTCATCCATTCTTCATTCAGCAACAGCACCAAGCAAGGTATATATATCCTTGCAAATTATTTACAAGTCATAAAAACTTACAGCTTTAACTCCTGTAAGACGTCCTGACCACAAACATATCTAGTGCGTGTGTTGGAATGAAAGTTGATCTAATTTAAATTTTTACTCTGTAGCATTTGCTACCAGCTTCCTGTCCATTAGTGTTCTTTTATCCTGGAACAGGTTCCTCTGGTTTATAGGCTCTGCAGTCCAGCTGGATGGTGGGCTGATCTTAGTGCCCTTCCATCTTTCTGCCTCAGCTGCTAATGTTGCTACATAACGTTTGTAGTGCAAAATAATAGATTTTCTGAGTCTTCAAACAGGTACTCCAGAGATTGCAACCTTGCTTTCTGTCCAAGCAGTAGTTTGTATTAGGATTTTTTTATCACTGCAACAGTGCTGTGGATCCATGCAGACTGTGCAGTGGGGCTGCAAGTGTTCAGGGAGCAAAGGACCTTCTTTGTTAGGAATGGACTTCAATTTATTTAGTAAAATTTAGTGGCACATATTACACATTGACTGCACATTTCTATGGAGCATAATGTGATTGCAACACTGTACATGGTTCTGTAGGGGATCCATGTCTCACATTTGCTGCTCTATTATACTTCAGCCTGTATTCCTCCCCTTCTTCCCTGCTCCTTCACACTGAACTAACTGCTCCTTTCTCACAAGGGCCCTCGAGGGCTGAAAAACATTACAGTTTGCATGCACAGTGCGTATTCAAACTGCATATTTGTTATTTTGGCAGTCATTCTCCAATCCAGCATTCAGTGCGGATTATAAAAGTGTATGTCCATGGTTTTGCACAGCTTCTTTGTGTTCTTCAGTGACACCACATGATATGAAGGTGTTCTGTGGAAGTGTGCCTCATCTGGAAGATAGCATTGTTAAATTGCAGTACCTTAACACACAGATCTCCAAGCATAAGCCATCTAAGAAATAAATGTTCTGCTATGAGGGACCTCTTAGAACATTATGCAGAAGGAGAAGCAAGGGCCTGTTTGGAGAAGACCATACTTGATGCCAACAAACTTAAGAAAGCTGAGAGCCAGTTTACTGTCTTAGGCTGTTAATGACAGACCATGCTTTTCTTCATTGTTGGAATATTGGTGGGCTTATGCTGCATAATTGAGCTAAATTTGCTGGCTTGTGTACAAAAGCAGTCCATCAACAGCAGGTTACATTTGGAAAATCAGCTTACACAGACCTCCTTTCTTCCCTAGTGCTCATTCTTTAGGACTGATTGTTTTGCCACAGAATGCTAAAGAGGAATAATTAGACAGAAAAATGTAATGCAGTCAACATGAGAAGGCTGATAAGGCTGTCTTCATTTTGGTAGTGTCTGTTTTTACTGTGTCTTACAAAGCTGCTACAGCACCAAAGCGAGGTACTGGAATTGGGTGGGTTTTAGTGTGATTGGTGTTAGAGCAAGAGATGTTTGAAATAGAGAATGTACAGGACAGCTTAGTTTTGTCTTGTTTTTTCTAATTCCTTTATGCTCTGAATGAGAGGTGTCCCAATAATATATCTGATTTACTTCTCTTGAAATAGTGTGGGGAGGAAATGGAGGGGCAATCCCCTGTTATACTGCCAGGTCTGTGCTCAAAGGGCGATTAGAGCCACATATTTGTCTGAGCTGACCCACCAGGCATGGCTGGTGTCATGGCACATCAGCAAAGCTAGGTGGCCTAGCAGTGCTGTGCAGTTGCATTAATTCATGTTTCATGGGCGGTGCCCAAGTGCCTTGCACGGGCAGTGGTCAAAGTCAAGGTATTATATGTGGTATTGTAACTTCAGCCTTCTGCAGTGAATCATGGATTTTAATGAGCCAGGGAGATACGGCTGCCCTGACATGATGGGGATGCTTCCTGTGCTAGGATTTTGGATGATAACCAGAGATGGCAGGCGACCAACCATCTCAGGAACTGCAGTCCCGCTAAGCCAGCCAACAGAAGGTGGTAAAAACTCAGAAATGGCTGTGTCTTCCTTTTTCCTAAAGTCATAGCTATTAAACTAATTCCTTTTAGCTCTGTTAGCATGCTGCATTTTTCAGCATGAGCTCTCAGCATGTTTGTAATGGCAAAGATTGATTTATTGCCACCTCATGAGTCAATGTATTTGTATTAGCCTGTGAATGTCCCACATTTTCTTTGTGGAAGTGCTGAAGAGAGCCAATGTTGGCTTTCTTGGTAACTCATAAGAGCTCCTCTTTGGTGTGGCCCTGCAAAAGAGGCACTTCAAAATCCTGCTTCTGAGTGCCTCTTCAGTAGGTAGTGAGAAGCTCTTGTCTGTTGTCTTTCTGCTGTTGGTTCTAAGATGCTCTATTTTCTCCATTTCTGCCTCTCCAGTTGTGTGCCAGCAGTACATGAGGGCAAGCCAAGGTGTGAACAAGGGGAATCTCACATGCAAAAGCTCAGGTTTTATTCTTCTATCTCAGCAAAGGCAGAGTATTGCCCCTGGCAATACAGAGCTGCTGTATTTCCAACAGGCTGTTGGAAACATTAGTCTTCAAATGGTAGCCAGCTTCTTTCCAAAAGGGAGAGATGCCATAACCATGTTAATAAATGTCATAAAAACAAGACACAGGATGTGTTTCTGTTCTCGCCTGTCATCCTGGTCATTGCATACAGTTTAGAAAATCAGGACACTCCCTTAACTTCCTGGGGGGAATTTTGCAATTTTTGCTTGTCTATAGGTGATTCCAGGTGCTTACCTGGTATTTTGGCTCCCCAAAATAAGCCAGACTTATTCCTAACCCTTTCTTCCTCCTGCACAGTGTTTATCTCATTGTACATTGACCAGATACTGTCACTGAATGCCAGCCTGCCTCTCAGTTAAGAGTTAAATGAAGGAAATAGTTTCAAGTAAAACCCTGGGAAAAATGTTATGGAGTTTATCTGCCTCTCTGTACTGTGTGTGTTTATTTGTTGCAAGGATTCATGTATCTCTGGATAGGGGCTACCTTTCTAATTTCTATCCTCATTTGTAAAAGCCATTAGAAAAGGTTAATGAGGATCTCGATTCTCCACCTAAACTCCAGTTCTCTCTTTCTGCATGCTGCAGGTTCCCCCTCACTAATGATGTAATTTACCATAGGGGTAGTGTGTGTGAGGGATTATTTTTCAGGCTCTGTAGCTGCATTTTAAAGGCAAAACTTGTCACACCAGAAAATCAAAAGAATTTTCTCTCTCCTAGTTCCCAACAAAAAAATTTCAGTGACTATGTGAGTATAGATCCTACTATTTTCTGAAGCAAGGTTGACAGCAATCTTGGAGAGCATTTTATGGGGTATCTGGGTTCATATTTCTCCATCAGCTAAAATGCCCCAAACTCACACCAGAATTTGGCTGCCTGCAACAGGCAACTGTTCCCCTCTCCTTCCTGGGGAAGGAATTTATGCAGCAGCTGGATATGTCTCCTGGAATAAGTCAGAGCAATCAGTGCCAGTGTAGCATGTCTGACTACCTATCCACTAATTTCCATGCACTAAAATGCTTTATTCTTGGAAGGAAAAAAAGATTCAGGTCTCAACATTATTTCTGAATCTTTTCAGCTTTCTCTGTTGGCATGTTCCTCATATGAGAAAAGACAGACTAGCTTAGGAAGAGTTTCTTCCCTGGTTCTCAGTATCCCCTTTCCCCCTTTCCCACTGCTCCTGCGGAGCACCAGACGCTGCTTAAATGTATGACATAACAGTGCCTGTTCAGTGATGGCATGATGTTCAAAGGCAGCATTCTATATCTGTGTGTATACAGCTGCTGTTGTTCCTCATTTTTTTTCTTCTTTGCCTCTCTGATATTGTTGTTGTCTACAGAAAGAAAATGTGAGTCAAATGGCATCAAACTTGTAATACTGCAGTGATTAAGAAATGAAACAAACTGAAGTTGCCAGCTCTGTAGTACTGCTTTTAATGGATTTGTGGTGTTTATTGCTATGGAACTCTTGTGTGTAAATCAGCTGTGTGAAAAGCATGAAAAATGCTGAAAATACAGCAGAGGAGTTCAGATTATATAAACAGATACAGGGAGAATATTGTATCTTGCCAAGGACATTTTCAAATAATGAATGTGTCTTGCATTAAATTAATTTGTTCCCTTTCTGAAGTCTAGATGTTACTGTCACAGAAACTACCATGACAGCTGGCACTCATGGCTCTCTTGCTGGTAATTTGAAGGGGAACTCAAGGGTCAAAAGGACCAAGGAGGTTGTCTCTTGCTTTCTTATGAGGATTGTTCTGGAATCAGGCAGAGTTTCAGCAACTGGTGTGAGGAGAACCAGAGCTACTGAGGGTATCAGAGTCTGAGATTCTCTTGGCAATTCACTTGCTAATGCTAAAGGACATTTTTAGAAAAAGTTCATCTGTCTCAAAAGAGCCCAACTAAAAGGGGGAGATTGGAAGACCCGGGGTTTTTGCTTACTTTGAACATGACATAGCACTTGCCTGATTTGATGAGCAGCTCTTGTTCCTCAGCATGTGCTTGATGGTGTTGGTGAGAGTACGCCCTTGTTGGGGGCCTGTGCTTCCTCTGTTCCAGGTTCTCTGAGCCAGACCCCAGCCACACACTAGAGGAGCGAGTGGTACACTGGTATTTCAGCCAGCTGGACAACAACAGCAGCAATGACATCAACAAGCGGGAGCTAAAGCCTTTCAAACGTTATGTGAAGAAGAAAGCCAAGCCCAAGAAATGTGCCCGGCGTTTCACTGACTACTGTGACCTCAACAAGGACAAGTCAATCTCTCTTCAGGAGCTGAAAGGGTGTTTGGGAGTCAGCAAGGAAGGAGGTGAGTGCCTTTTCTTCCTCATTGCATGACAGTAAAAACTGACAAACAAACATGACAAATAAAAACTGAGTTACAGCAGATTCAAAAATCCATTTTCTCCCAGCTGTTTCAAAAGTGCCACAGTTTTTGTGAGCAAATGAGTGTGATTAATACGCTGCCATGCAAATGTAGTTTGTTACTTGTGTTATGGCTCCATCTTCTATGCCTTATCACAGACCTTTGTGCTAAGCATTATACAGAAAGAGGACAACAGATGAGAGTTCTTGGCCAGAACTCTGCTTGTACTGTTGAAGTCCTTGGAAACTGTAGTTAGGACCAGGTCCCTTCTGAGTAATACCCCACTAACAAGATTCTGTTGTCTCAGCCATGCAGGTTGGATGATGTATGAGCCAGCACAGACCCAGTCCTTCTCTGGAGACCCTGTTTACTAACAGAAATAATACTTATTTTCATTGCTAAATTCAGCATGCAGGAAATTGTATGATGCAAAGAGAATTCAGAAAGAAAGCAGAGAGCTGTAATGCTGCTCTTCTTAAATTTGACTTGGAGATTGGGGAAGAAATAAGGCATGTGAATAACGTATTTTCCTTTCTGTTTAGTGTCTGAACAACCAACCCACCCTCCTGCCTTTTCTTCCAATTTTCATCTTCACCTCATCATCTGTTGGGACCCGAACCAAACTGATATTTTTGGAAATTTTAGGAATTGAAACTGTTCAACCCAAATTCAATAATTATCAGTCATTCTTGACTGTGGACAGACTTGCTTGGCAGGAGAAGGCAAACAGGGAGGTTCCAGGGGACTAATTTCCTGTGCAGGTGTTTTGGCTGTGCAGACAACTGGTGTTATAAGTGTCACAGTAATTGGGAAGGGTGGATGGCTTTTTTTTCTCCCATCTTAATCTTTCCTTAGTCCTTTTCTCAGGTTTAGCACGAGTGGGAAGGGAGTCAGTACACTTGGGTGTTGGGAAGTTGCATTTTCTAGGTGCTTTGCAAACATCTTAGTTACCATAATAAGCATGTAGCATCACTTGTCAGCTGTGAGAAGCATTCAGCTTCCCTAGCCCTGTGGAGGTGTTTTTTTGTCATCAGTACCTTACTGAGGAATGATATACCAAAATAGCAATCCTTAATTTTATTACCTTCCCAATAAGATGAATATGCCAAATGAATTTTATTGCTATTTGGCCTGGAATAAGACTCTCTGGAATGTGCTGCCCTGGCCAACTGACTTTTCAAAATTTAGTTTATAGAAGGGGAAAAAATCAAAGGGAGAGAAAAAGAAAATGTGAAACTTTGAGCCCATGTGAAGGGGAAAGAAGGCAGCAAGACATTGTTGTGAATGCCTGATTGTCCAACTGTTTGCTGAGAACACAGCCTTGACCTTTCATGGTTTCTTCTGTTGTATGAGGATAGGACTGTGGTTAAAAATGTGATCTTTTTCTGTCATGCAGCTCCACATACCTGCTACAGAACTGATAAGCCTTGAGGATCAAAGATAAAGGGATAAGTTAAAGGATGGTGAGGACAAAAAAGCAGTGTGGGGGGCAGGGCAGAGAGCAGGAACTAGCATGGAAGAAAGAACTGAGTGCTTCAGAGCTGCAGTAAATAAGTTTGTAATGGATCTTTTTTAAGAAGTTGTGAGGTGGTAGATGACATGTTTTCTGTGCTTCCTATTCATAAGAAATGCTAAATTTAGAAACAGTATCTTTGCCTTTGGCATGGTCCCCCACAAATCCTCTCTAGACTGGAGAGAGATGGGTGGACTATTAAGTGGATAAGGAATTGGTTGGATGGTCACATCCAGAGGGTAGTGGTCAACAGCTCAGAGTCCTGATGGACATCAGGGACAAGTGGTATTTCTTGGGGTCCATACTGGGACCAGTGTTATTTAATCTCTTCATTAATGACACAGACAGTGGGACTGAGTGTACCCTTAGCACATTAGCAGATGACACCAAGATGAGTGGTGCAGTTGCCATGCCTGAATGATGGGACCTGGACCAGCCAGAGGGACCTGGACAAGCTCAAGAAGTGGCCCCATGGGAATCTCATGTGGTTTAGGAAGACAAAGTACAAGGTCCTTTAACTGGTTTAGGGCAACCCCTAATGTCAACCCAGGCTGGGGAATGGACAGATCAGAGCAGCCCTGCCCAGAGGGACTTGGGGGTGCTGGTGGGTGAGAGGCTGGACATGACCCAGCAGGGGTCCAGACTCTGGGCACTGCCAGCCCAGAGAGCCAGATGTGTCCTGGGCTGCATCCAGAGCAGCCTGGGCAGCAGGGCAGGGAGGGGATTCTGCCCCTCTGCTCTGCTCAGACCCCACCTGGAACCCTGCATCAGCTCTGGGGTCTGCAGCAGAAAGGAAAGGGACCTGTTGGAGTGAGTCCAGAGGAGGCCCCAAGATGATTAGAGGGAAAGAGCACCTCTGCTGTGAGGAAAGGCTGAGAGAACTGGGATTGTTCATCCTGTAAGAGAAGGCTTGGTGTGACCTAGTTGTGGCCTTCCAGTACCTGAAGGGAACCTGTAAGAAAGAGGGAGAGGGACTTTAGCAATAGCACAGAGTGACAGGACAAAGGGGAATAATTTCAAACTGAAGGAGAGTAGGTTTAGAGTAGATATTAGGATGAAGTTCTTCGCTGTGAGGGTGGTGAGGGCTGGACCAGGTTCCCCAGAGAAGCTGTGGATGCCCCATCCTGGAAGTGTTCCAGGCCAGGTTGGGTGGGGCTCTGAGTAGCCTGGTCTAGTGAGAAGTGTCCTTGCCTGTGGCAGGGGGGTTGGAACGAGGTAAGCTTTAAGGTGCCTTCCAACCCAACCATTCTATGATTCTGCAATCTTACCCCTTCTCTAACGTTAGTTTATGCTGGTCATGGGTAGTCAGTCCCTGTATTTTTCTGTCTCTTTCTTTGTACCATGGCCTCCAAAGATCTGCTGGGGCTGAGGTCACTGTGGGTTGAAGCCAAGAGCTAGCTGGAAACCTTTTTGATCATGTACTTTCAGTTGTAAACTGCTAGTCAGATGAGAACAAAACTTTCCATGGAAATGTTTCTGTTTCAACAAAAGCTTTGTTTGAAGGGTTCTTCTGGTCTAGCTTGGATGAGGAGGGATTGCAGGGAGGCAAGGAAGGTTATAATGTCCCCTTCATATACTTCATTACAAGTGAACTTAGCACAGATGTTCCAAATCCTGTTTGGATGTCCAGTAGCATAAGGACTAAAATGAAGTGGGACATCATTCCAGGTGAGTATGCCTCTTCCTAGGCAAATTGAACACTTGTAATGGTTTTGAAAATAAAACATAATTAAAATTTTGTAGTATTTGGGATGCTGAGCATTCTGCGTTTTTGTCAGTGTTTTGCTTATTTTTTTGGTGGCCAGTTCCATCCAAATGTGGAAATAGAGCTGCTTAAAGGAAGCATAGAACATAGATAACATACTACTGTTATGTGTCTCTCAGGACCTAGAGAGTCCAAATTGGATTTATATGTGGGGATTCATTTGGGATATTTGTAGGACAAACCTGAATCTGAGCTCTTTCCAGTTTAGAATTAAATCTGTTTGAGGTGCATAGTTGTGTCTGTCTTCCCTTCCTCATAAGTCTCTTCATGCCTGTGGTAACTTAATATGTGGGTGCTGCCAACCAGTGGTTCTCCAGTGAGGAAAATAGCTGCCCAGTCTATCAGAAACCCTTCCTCTTTCCCATCCTTATGGTGACCTAAAAAGCTGCTGGCAAATCTGCTGGGTCTAGTGGCCACTTTGCACAGTCCTTGTCCCTCTCTTTAAACCAGACTTATTTTTATCAGGGGCTATTTACATGGAAAAATGCCATTTTTGGATGTCAGCATGGAATAGCCACATAAGAGTTAGCCTTTGAGTGTTTGCAGAGGCCTGCAAATGGCTTTTTAAACTGGGGCAGAACAGTTGAAACAGGCAGAACTTTTAGCTTGGAGTATGCCAGAAACAGTCTTTGCCATCACTTGATCTAGGATTGTCTGTCTGAGGAATTGTGGAAGGAAAACAGACTGATTTACAGCCTGGTAAAAGTTGGCATTCCTCAGCATGGTCTGCACAGCCTGAGTTAAGGGGGGAACCACCTGTGATCAAAGAACAAATGTATCTCTCTGCATTAGTCAAAAGTCAGGATCCTTGTGAGGAGATAGACACACATTGAAAAGATTTGCTGGAAAGTTACTGTACCCAAGATTAATTTGAGTCCAGTGATGCTGGAGAGGAGGGCTGTAGGTCTGAGAGAGGCTTGTGCCTCACAACTCAGTGAGTTGTGCTGGCTGCAAAATGTTGGAGTTGAGTTTTACTTCTATATTCTTCCAAGTTCAGAAGACAAAGTCAGCATTTTGTGCCTGCCCAAAGAGGAGCTAAGGGAATAAGCAGCAGAGCAGTGTCCCTCTGCCAGCTGACAGGAGGTTGCCTTCTGCCAGCTCAGATCCTGTGATTGCTTTGCTACCCAAGAGCTTGTCAGATGGTAGGTGTTGGGCACGCTTCACAGGCCATGAGGACGGCTGAGGTGGAACCCAGCCACCAAGAGTGCAGTCCAGAAACAGGATCGAAATATCTTAATTAAAAAGTGTATGTGTGTGTAATTAAACAGAATGTCACCTTCTACTGAATCTGATGAAATGTTAGGGAAAGAAGGAAATGCAGACAGACAATCTGAACAGCAGATTCCATTCAGTGGTGTTTTGGACCTTTCTTATCGCTTTCTTCAGAAGTGACTGCATGCTTGGGAGGTTGGGAATGAGTTGCTCTGTATCATTACTGTACAAGCTGCTGTGTGGGAGAAGGTAGCAAAGAGCAGTCACTCTGGACCAATGATGATAGGAAATAACAATCTGAGTGGCCATGAGAAAACTGTAACCAGGTAATGACCAAATTAAAAAGGAATTTAAAAGTACATTTAATTGCTATTAGATTAGAATCAAAGGAGCTGCACTGATTCAGTACTTGGTTTTGTGTGTCTTGTTCAGATACTCCCCTTTGGAGCTTTGTAGAGGTGCTATAATTTGCCTTTAATCTTGACAAAAGTTAGTGATAGTATGAATCAGGACATCAGTATTGTATTGAGAACACAAGATAAGGCTGTTTCTCTCCCCAAAATGTGAAAGGTTTGCTCAGTATGTCTCAGGAATAATAATTTCCTATAAAAAGCTGCTGGGGTTTCCTTGGGGCTTTTCCTTTTGAAAGACACCTGGCCTAATCCAGTGTGACTAGAGCTGTTATCCAAGACTTGTGAGGATACTTGTGAGGATGAGCAAATACTCTGCTTTGTGAAACTTGCCAAATGGTAAAATGGGATGTTACCTCATAATGCCCAAGGGCTTCCCAGCCATATGTTAGTAACCCACTCTCACCACCTGCCATATTCCTGCCAGCAGCGGCAGCCTTGGCCACTGCCACCTTTTTCTCCCACTGGCTTTTTCTTCCCAGCAGCTCCATTCCCATCTTACAGCCCAGCCTCCTGGCCCTTGGGGCTTCCTACACCTCACCCTTGCCCTCTGAGCTTCTGCCCATCTTATTCCTGCACAAAGCAGCATGTGCAGTAGTGTACTTGATGTGCTGAGCAAGCTGTGCAGCTGGGTCGTGTGCATGCACAAATCAAAGTCATAGGCTGGAGTGGAGGGTGGCAACAGGCTTCCTGCTGCTGGCTGGGAGCAGGAGCTCTCATTTTCAGCTAATCTCTCCTCTGAAACCAGAGGAAGCAACTCTCAGGAAGCATGTGACATGCTTTTGACAGCTCCTGTAATTCCTGAGCTGGCTGTACCCAGTGTAGAGGCCCTTGCCACAAGCTCCGTCTGGTGAAGGGTATGTGTGCCTGTTATCTCTTAACACAGTCACAGCTCTGCCCTTCTGCCAGGTGTTTGTAAGTTCAGGTCTTTGACTGTAGGCACTTGTTTGTTGGATTCAAGGGAAAGATTCCATAAAGCTGGGCTGTCTGTATTGTTTGTACCTTCACTCTCTTCTGAATGCCGCCTTTCTACATGGCATTATTCTGCTTGCTTGGGGAAACGTCATGATACTACTTGCATCCTTCCTTTCTTCTTTCTCCTTCCACTGGTCAGTTTAACCTTGTAAGTGTTGTTTCTTGCCCGTGCAAAACTTCTGGATTTCATGATATTCAGCTACTACAACACCATGTATTTAACATCTCTCATCTCAGGCACATTGGTTAGACTCTTGCATGCGAATCCTGTTGGCAGGACTTGCTGTGAGTATGTTCAGAGGGGGTGCATTGAACCTGCTCTCTGACAATACAAGGGAAGGTTCCTTTGTCATGACATGGCATTCTCTTCCTTTAATGTGGTTCTTGGATTTTACAGGTAGCCTGAGCAGTTTGCCTAATGGAAAAAGACAAGGCCTTAACCCTTTCAGTGAGTATCTTGTCAAAATGTTTTCTTTTTTCCTGTGATAAGCATGTATTGCAGAATTCATTCTCCCCTGTTCTCCTATGTTCATGAACAGCAATATAGAAACAGCTGGAAACCAAAGTTGTTCTTAAGAGGTATAAATATACCAACATACAGCTCCACTGCATCATTTCAAAGTCCAGCTCTATGTCTTTTGCTGGAACAAATGATACTTTGCTAAGGAATTAAAATAGGATAAAGCAGCTATGGGATGACTACTATCCTCCTCTTCCTTCTTCTTTCAAGCAATAATTTAGGTGATTAGTTGTGTTTACATTACATTACTCCATGGACAAGTTCCCATGAAGACTCTTCTGTATCATGGTGAAGATCTGCTCTCTCCTGTATTTTGTAGTATTGAATCACATGGACCCTTTCATCAGGAATGAACAACATCATCATTTACTTTGTTTTTAGGCTTTCTGCCTCATGGTTTTGTTGGGTACTTCTCATTTTGGATTGTAGGAAGCAGTGAGAAGTTTTCTCCTGCTTATTTCTTCAGCCGCTTGTTCTATAGCTGTCCAATATATGTCTGGTCAGACTCTTTTTTGTGTTGAAGAGACCTAGGCTGTGTATTTGTTTAATGCCAGAAGTCTTCCTGTACCTCTTGCTGTCCTCCTTATCTTTCTGGGGAATGTATCTGGCGCTGGTGAGATGGGCTGAACAGAGAACTGAAGATAAAGATCACCTTGTACATTGATGATGTGATGTTTCCTGGTGTGTTCTCCATTCTGAGTATGTACTTGATTTTTGCCTGTTGCTAAAAGCTGAGCAGAGGCATTTGAACAATTGCTGTGGCTTCAGCCCCTTCTTTGTCACTCAAAGTGCTCAGTGTAGGTCAGGTCATCTGCACTCCCACGCTGCACTGCACTTACAGACATGGAAAGCAATCTGTTGTCTTTATGAGCTCGTCATTGAGCACTGCAGGCACCTTTTGCAGAGCTGTGCAATCGATTGCAGATAGGGCTACCCGAAATAATTTTGCATTTGACAATATTTGCCCCCTGTGACAGGGCATATTGATCAGCACTGATCCCAGTGAGGTAACCTGTCCCCTCTTTGTAAATCAAATCCCTACTTTGCTTTCTCTTTAGCATGTTTTCACCTGTAATTAATCCACAGAGCTCTAGCTCTGATCCCATAAGAGCTTTGGTTCTTTAAGAACCTTTGGTTAGGGGCTTAACAAAAGCTTTCTGAAGAAAGGCCTCCTCCAAGATCTTGTCTGCTGGGGAAGGAGGCAGCTGGCTGTGGCTGATGGTGAGATGGTGGCAGGGCAGCCTGGCAGCAGTGGTTTTCTGCATCAGCTGTGCCAGGCAGAAGAGCAGAGCAAAGGATGTTGGACCAGTTGTTTCTCTAGACTGCATGTCCATTTCCAAGGAGGGGGAGGAATGTGGTGTTCCGTGTTTAAAAATATGTCAGTCCCTAAGGCTCCATGTGACTCATTCAATGCTTTTTCCAGCAAGGCTGTCTCATTAGCCCCTGGTTGTTTCCAGCCTCACAGCTTACTCTGGGATCTCACTGTTCTGGAGCCATGGCTTCAGCAGAGGCTATACCGGATCTTTATCAGTCAGGTTTATTTTTGTTTTAATTTGCCTTTTTCCCTTACTTGTTCTGCTTCTGTTCTGTTTTTCCCTCCTTGCCCACCCTACTCTTTCAGTAGGTCGCCTGGTGTAGCAGCAGAAGACAAGAAGGGAAGGCAGGAGCTGACCCAAAGGAGGAAAAGATCCAGTGACAGATGGACAGACACCTTGCTGCTTGTGAGCAAGCACGCAGCATCAGCAACATCCAGCGTAGCAGAAGTGGCACCCAGAACATTTGCACTTTTAAAAAATTGGTTTGGGTTTGTTTTTAATTGCTTTTCAGTGCCATTATCTAATACTTTGGAAAGTGGAGGGAAGCAGGATCATGACTTTTTAAAATTGGAACAGCTACTGATGATGTAAAATTGAGTTCACTGGGACTCAAAGAATTTTATATACTGTATATAAATATATATGTAAATTGTACAGTTGTCTTGTACAGGGGTTGGAGTCACTGTTCTGTTCCTCCCTTTGCTTTTGAAGGCTATTAGGGTTAGAGGGACACTTTGCATTTAATGGATGATAGTAATGCATTCATTTCTGCCACCAAACCATCATTCAGCAGCGAGCCTTAAGAGCACCTCCATGCAGAAAGGAGCCAGTGTATCAGCATGAATTGTTCTTGCAGATGTGCATGCAGTGCCCCAGATACAAAATGCTTCTTGAGAGCAGCTGAACCCCTTTTCTTTAAAACTCTCTGCAACTCAGGCAGTTGGGCTTTTGAGAGCACAGATTCCATATAAGTATTGGTGCACTGCACAGCTGCTTAAAGCAGGGATAGAAAAGGGTTGTATTAGGGAAGTACAAAAGTAGTTTATGCACTTGTTGCAGTTGGGCAGAAATGAAATACAAATGCATTGCTATTCATGCTCAGATAACACGCTTAGCAAAGATGTGCCATGCCTCTGGAATCTAAAGCTGTAGGAAGGATGTGGAAGCCATAGGCCTAGTAGAGTCAGTGGAGTGAAGTCTTGCATCTTCCGCTCTGACAAAGTGTTCATCTGTATGTTGTACAGCAATAAACATTTTGAGAAGCCTGCTAAAAGCAGCACCAACCTGCCTTGTGCTTTGCTGAAGAGCAAAGAACATACTTGTCAGTGCAGACAGACACAGTCGTGCTGCTGGTCCCCAAGAGTCTGCTTTACCTCTTTCAGCAGTACAGCCTGGGCCATGCTCACTGGTGAAGGTCTGTCAGCAGTGACTTTTCTTGTCCTTGGTGGTTGTGAATCCAAGCTCTCCTCCTGCACAGTGGTGTGCCTGCCCACTTTGCCTGTTCTGCTGTTGCCAGTACCTCGTGGGTACTGTGGCACTGGGGTGTGATTAGCAGTAACAGTGAAGGTTTGGAGTGAGGAGTTCTGGTGTTCTTGGATGCCACAGGGGCTGTGTCAACCCCTAGCAGTTTTACCAAAGTTGTTTCTTTGGCAGGGGTGCCCATATCAACAATCCTAGATTGGGCAGAGTGTGATGGGACACATAGGGCTTTGCTTTGTGTATTTCCAACCACTGGCAGCACTCGCCTGTTCTGAGCAGCCTCCCACTTCAGACCTGGTGATCCTTCTGCCACTTATCTCTGGACCAAGAACCTGCTAGAAGAAGCTGTAGTGAAGGTGATGAAATGACATGCTAATACGAGATCACACCAACAATTACTTGTAATAGCTATAGGCTGCTCTAGAGACTGGAGTCATCCCTCAAGGTTCTGTTACTTTGGTAAAAGATGACACAACACAGCATCTTCACTCTAGGATGTCATCATAACAATAGCATGAGATAAATACATCACCAAAAAAAAAAGTGTCCTGATGCAGTAAGTTAGTGCTTGTTGACAAAATGGAAAGTTAAATAAAAGAAAAACTAACAAGCCTTTCTATAAATAACTGTTTAAGCATAGTAATAACTCTTCCTCTGGGAAGTATGTTGGAGCTAATTAAAATATATGGCAGGTTCAAAACACTTCTGGTAATATCTGAAATATACATCATAATATAAAAAAGTCCTCTCTTTAGCAAGAGCAGATCTTGCTGCTGGATCTTCATGGTTTCTCACATACAGTGTATGTGCTATTTTGGCCCACAAGCTCCCACCTTCTTGATTGCTTCTTCTCTTTTTGTTCTTTGGCTTTTGGTTTTATTTTTGGTTTTGGTTTTTGGTTTTTTTTGTTTTTTTTTTTTTTAATGCCCTTGGCACATCTTTTGTGTGTTGAAAGAAATTGATTTAATGTATAGTTAGAAATGTCCATGTCACACTCACTAATCCTACTGTAGGGAGTAAAGAATGAAACCAACTGTATAAAAAAAAAAGCCTTTCAATTTTAATATTCTAGTTCTAGGAATTAAAAGTTCTGGTTGCTGGGTTGTTTGGTGATTTGGGGTTTTTTGGGGGTGGGGTTTTTCTTTGTTTGGTTGGGTTTTTTTTTAATGTATAGTTATTTCCAGCAGAAACTGCCAATTGGATGCCTCTGGGAATTCTATCAAGTACTGGGGCTGGGCAATGCCCCACAAGATTATGGGGGGACTGCAGAGCTTCTAAAACTCACTGCATCTTCTGGAAATAAACCAGCCAGTCACCACTCCTGCTTGTTACATAAATCCTTCTGCTGACCTCCTTTTTCTCATCCTTGTGTCCTTCTCCTCCAAAAGGCCTGCATTCACATGTGGTTTGCAACTGAAATTGGGTCAGTTCTTCAAGGAAGGCAAACAAGGGGTGGCTGTTGGTTAACTTTGGTATTTGTGGGTATTCCTGTTGCTAGGCCCAGGCTGACTTTATGGATATATTGGGGACCAGGCATTACATTGCTTTCCCCTCTCACAAGACAGTTCCAAGTCCCTGCATCCTGACTTGTGAGTTTGGGTGGGTCTCTGAGCAGCTTCTGGCAATGCCTGAATGTGCATTGCTATGGAAGGCCCAAGCAGCATGATGGTGTCATGTCCAGGCAGAGGTTACTTATTCTGGGTTTGTGTTGGAGCATTGTGCAGACCATACTGGTCCTGATTCACGTAGCCCATGCTGGGAGCTGTCCAACAACCTGTACTCGCCAGATGAGAGCAGTGCCTCAGCTGCCCATTTCCCTTCTTGGTTTTGTTGCCAGTCCACCTAGCTGCTAGGCCAATTTGTCCTTACCTGGTGGTTGTAAGCAGTCTTCTGCTCTGCCTTGCATCAATAGCATCTTTCTGAAGCTGGAACACAGGGAGTATCAGTGTTGTGCCTGAAAGCAGACCCTGAGCATATGTCTCCTCATCCTTCAAATCCTCCTGGGCCTCTCCAGCTCTACTTTGAATGACGGCTGAAAATGGCTGGGACAGAGAAGAGAACCAGGACTCGACAGTGAAGCTCATCTGTTTGTCCTTCCAGAAGTAAAAAAAAAATTCCTTTTTTGCTGATCTTCCAAGGGCATAGTGTGTTGTAGGAAATTGCATTACAGTGGAATTCCTGTGAAGGCACTGCTTTCCATGGCCTGAGTTTATATTGAACTTACCCTGCCCCAGCGCATTTCTGCCTATGGCAAATTTGTTAAACTGAAAGGCATCTGTTTGGTTTTGGTTTTGTAATAAAATAGATAACTTTTGCTCCAGTGTCTTGTGGTGGTTACTTGTTGATTCTTGATTTCCAGTTACTCCTACAGTGCTGTAGGAGAGGGAAGGGGACTTTCCTCCTTGCAGAGTCAATTGTCAGTCTGTGGTTGGATTTGGAGGTCTGTGATGTTTCTTTCCTGTGTGTGAGCCTCCAGGCTGAATTAAAACAAGCTCCAGAGTGCATCTCCGTGGTTTGATGACAGCTGTCTGAATCTGCCCAGCCTGCTTAGAAGGGCTGTGAAGCTTCAGCAGGAGTGTGGAGATGATTGTAGAAGGTGGGGAGTGGGATCTCGTAGCCATCTCCCCACACCACAGGTGGGAGATGGGCACTGCACCTTGCGTGTCCTCACACCTCCCTCTCACACGGGAGCCTTCATACTTTACTGTGCAGGTCATGCCTCACTATATGTGGGCCTGAAAGAGTTCTTCTTCTCTTCTTCTTCTGGCTGTTGTCCAAAACCTTTTAACCCTCAAAGACGGTAAGTAACAAGCTATGCTGGAAAGCTGCTGCTGTTGTAAAACAGGTTTTTCTAGGCTACAAGGAAGTGGCAGCAGAGGCTGCAGCACCGGGTCCATGGCAGAGGCCACACACTGATCCCTTTAAGTGCATTTGACCAACGTTGTCATCACTGTCATTTCACTTGATCACATGTAAATCTCTTGGAATGAATAAGGAGCCAACTCATTTATTGCACATGGAAGGCAAGGCAGTTGCAGTCCCAGGGGAGGGTTCTGCACAGGCTGGATTGTTTGTAGGTGGTCTGAGAGGGTTCTGCTAAGTCTTTAGGTGCAAATTCAACAATAAAATAAGGAAATGCAGTGGTGTGACAGCCAGTGTGCATCTGTCAAGAATGAACTGGCAAGCCAAGTAAAGTTCCTTGTATTACCAAGGGTAACAAGTTCTTGGCTAAGGTAAGAGCAGTAGTTGTTACCTCTGGGTATGACTTAACTAAAAACAGGAAAAGGATATTTTGAAAAGACCAATTCCTTGGCCACGCTTCCTGGTTCTGGAGTCAATGTAAGGTACCCCAATAGGCCATCACCCTTTCCCTGGCAATGCTGCCATTCTGTAAGCAAGTCAAAAGGACTGAAAAGGGCTTACTTCTGCCTCTGCTTCCACAATGACACTGCCATTCTTTTCCTCCTCCCCCTGTCTTTTTTCCTCTTATCTGTAACATAACTAGCACAATCGACAAGCAGAGTGTTGACCTGACTTCTCAGCAGCCAGCCTTTACAAGCCATTTCAGGCAAAATACTTTGGAAACTGTTCAAAAGCTGGTATTAAATTGGACAGAACAATCTGCAGAAGTGATGCTCCTTGGTTTGGAAAACTTGAATAGGATATGGGTTAAAAAAAAAAAAGCCAGCTTAGGAACCAGGAGTCTTAACAGAGAGTATTTTGTACGGAGTGTTTGCAGAAAACTCAAGACTGGCTACTTTGGGAAGCAATTGTGCTTTTTGTAATTCTGCTAAGGGCTTTCTTACTGATGTTAATGGTGGGTTTTGTTTTTCAGAGGGACCTTGCCTGTGCACTCCAGGAGTTGTCTTGCTTTCATTGAGAAAACACCACAAAATCTATGCTGTGTGTTGTAGCACAAACCTGTACTCCCATCTCCTGCAAAAGCATAAATGAACATTTAGTCCACATTAAGATTTTTTTCAGCACATTGGGACTGGGCTGAGGGTCTTCAGCTGAGGCAGAGGAGCCATGGCCGTGCTGTGTGCTCAGCCAGCCCACAGCCCAGGCAGTGGTGGTGGGTGGCTCTCTGCCCCCAGCTCAGCTAGACCTGTGCTGTGCTGCAGGCACAGGGTGTACACCAGGCAATAAGGGAGGCAGCTGCTTGTGGCTCCAGTGGAGACTGAGGTTTCCACACCTTGCCTCCTCTCTGGTGCCAGCAGGAATAGATCAGGTCTCTTGCATACAACTCACAACTAGGTGGCCCTAGTTTGGACCTCAGAGTAGTTTCTTGGTGCAAGATCTGGGAGTCTGAAGTACAGATGAATACAGCTCACCTTATTAAAACAAAGAAATTCGGTCCCAGTACAAAACAGATCCTTAACTCATTGCTTTATGGTGTGCGAACAAAGGACTCTGGTGAAACAAGTTCTTCTGTAGCATCTCTATACTGTGCTTCAAGCACTTAAAAACTGCAGTTTGAGTGTCCAGTGTCTCATTTCATAGCACAGCTCTGGTCTTGCATAGCACTAAGTGCCACTATCTCCCTCCGTCATGATTTTGGCTGGGACCGCTGAAGTGATTCCTGCTGGCTTCACCGTGTCAGCTCTTTTCTGATAAGGAAAGAGGCAAACCCTGTGAGAAACCTACTGTTTCTTTGTCCTTACTCAAGGATGTTCCCACTCTGAGCTGGCAGGTTGTCTCAGAGAAAGCTGTATGAAGGTGGCTGAGGCTGGATTGTTCACCTGCAGTGCAACACGAAAGTGAATTTTTGCATCTCTGGAGCTGTTAAAATTGTTTCAAATTAATGGCTTAAACACTGCAAAAATTGTCACAGGACTTTTGCCCACTCTAGGAGACTGCAAAGAAACCTTGTTGTCCATCTGCAATCATGGAAGTCCACCCCTGCCTAAATATGCCTGCTAACTGGAATTTGGACTGTGACAGGAACTTAAGATAAAGGGGATACTATTGTCCAGTCATCCCAGGTCTGGGGAGAAAAATGTGATTCACCAGTGATCCTGGAAGAGAGACTGGAATGCTGATGGCTCCAACATTCATGGGGTAGGCTGCAGGTGAACAATCCAGCCTCAGCCACCTTCATACAGCTTTCTCTGAGACAACCTGCCAGCTCAGAGTGGGAACATCCAAGGCACTTCAGAAATAGCTCTCCCTCTTCAGCCAGATGCCGTGTCAGCTCTTTTCTGATAAGGAAAGAGGCAAACCCTGTGAGAAACCTACTGTTTCTTTGTCCTTACTCAAGTGAATTCAGCTGTGATAACTCCCCAGCTGAGGAAGTACCAGGACATTCCTGAGGGTTTTCATCTCTGCTGATGGGCTGTAATGGGCCATAATGGACTCAACTCCCTGATGCTGGACAGCTGTATTGTCTTAGAAAGTGTCAAAGACTCCTGAACTGATCCACAACATTACATCATCCAGCTGGAACTCCCTGCCCCAGGGGAGGTACCTGGGCGTTCCCACCTGAAGTGGAGTGAATATAAACCCAGCAGATGTTGTGTTTTGGGGATTTCTCCCTACCATATGATGGATCCAGTCTGCAGCCATCACTTTGACCAAGAGACATGGAAATTGAAAGAACCAAGTCACATTATGTAGCCTACAGGTGACCTTTATACTCTTACCCTTTCCTTCTCTTTCTTACCCATTTTCTTAAGCAGTATTTTTATGCTTTTGTAATGCCATAATATTATACGTAACAATAACAAAAATGGCTGCTTTACAATGCAAACAATTTGTTTGCAATAAACCCTACATGTGTATATTTACAAACACCACTTAATCAGCGTCATTTCGCTCCACTTTGCCCCAAAGGGATCTATTAGCAAGAACCTGGGCTACCCTTGCCTTCTGCAGTGGGTTCCAGCACGAGTGTTGAGATGTCTGCTGCAAGCTTTTTCTCCTCCAAATGTACTTGGATACCAAACCTTTGTAAAACGAGTTAATCTAAAGTACTTGGACTCCAAAAAACCAAAACATAAAATATAAATGAATTCAGAAAACTCATAGGCAGGATCTGTGAAGAGATATCCTAAATGATAAAAAAGATCTGGGCACTGATAAAAGGAGTCATAGTCCAAATAAGAAACTATCCTGCTGCAAGAGAAATAAAGGGAGTGTAAGTAGAGACCAATAAAGTGGATCAAGAGCTCTTCAACAGCCTGAAACATGAGAAGAAAAGAAATTAAATGTGGGATGGGTATTGGAGCATTGCAGACTACACAGGAGCTGCCAGGGGACTTAGAGCATGGCAACATCACCTAACTGGTGATGAAGAAAAACCTAGAGAATTACAGACCTGATATCTCTCTGTGAAAACCTAAAGGAGCAAGCTACTGACCAGTTATTCTCTAATCCTCTAAAGATTTATAAATTGTAAATAAGTGGTAAATAAATGGTAGGAATGGGTTTGTTGAGGTTTCACTAAGGACAAATAGTTTCAAACCAATTTGATTCCCTTTTTTGGCAGGATAACTCTCCTCATGGCTAGGGGATGAGATAGCACTGGATGTGATATGTCTTGACTTTGGAGAGGCTTCTGGCACTGTCCCAGAAGACATTCTCCTAAGTGAACCAAGGAACTGCAGCCTATTTAGATTCACATATGTTGAATTCAGTGTCAAAGTCAGAGAGCTTTCTGAGGAAATCTTCCCAGCAATGGTCTAGAGTCCAGATCTATTCAGTATTTTCAGCAGTAACTTTTGAAAATTACTTTGCTGTAAATTTTCCTGTTGATACCCAACAAGGTGTGGGATACTGGGGAACCTGTGGGAGGAGTCTGTCAGGACCTAAGGAGGGCAGCAGGACATGAATGGTTGATAATTTGGAGAAACAATCCCAGTCAACAGGATGAGTTTCAGCAGAGGCATGGGATGACCTGCCATGAGGCAGCTGAGAATGTGCAAACACAAAGTGAGACCCACTAGGCAGCAATCCTGTAGAAGTTGCTTCTCGAAGGTTGCAAAAAGAGAAAGTGGAGAACCTGAAGGACTGTGCCACATACAAAATCCTTTTACCATAACAATGAGCTGTTTCCTATGCCCTTGACAATAAAACAAGAAGAAAAAAAATTAGTGATGCCAACAGAAACACTGCATTTGGCTTTGCTTTTATTTTCTGCCCAAGATGCTCCATAAGAGGAGGAGGCAGTCAAATCTCTTTTGATAGCTTTAAGAGCTATTTATTATATATGTATATATATATATGTATTTGGACACCCCTTGTGTTAATAGAGACACAAAGGTGCTCTGTACAATATGTACACCTTTAGTGCCAAGGATGTGCCATGGGGACTTTCTGAGAATACCTTTGAAGCTTTTGTGTTGAGATGTTATTCCTCCTACAGTTTTTTCATGCACCCAGGTTGTACTCATAATTCCCATGGAATGAGATCAGTATTTCTGTAATGGAAGCTTATTTTCTTCAACATCAGAGGCATCTTCCTGTGAAGGTATTCATAACTTCACAACTTACACCCTGAAAAAAAACCATCTTTGTTTGAAGGGTTTATTTATTTAATTCACCCAAATTGCACGTGTTTAAAAGTACTTCCTAGGCCTGTGATGTTTTTTATCACATTCTTGAAACTCAGCCAATTTCTGAGTGCTTGCCCAGCAATGGGTACTAGGTAGGTATTTTATTATTTATTTATTATTATATTATTTATTATATAATATATATACATTATATATAAAATAATATTTATTATATTATTATTTATTATTCTTTTAGCCACAGCTCCCACTCAGCTTGCCATGTATGTGGCAACAGCAATGGTACAGTCTGGGACATGGGTGAGTGCTTACATTTAAGTGCAGTGGGAGCATCTGCTGAGCTCATCCACCCCGCATTGTGCCTTTAGACTCCATGTCCAAGCTCCAACTACACCCTAGGCCACGTGTGGGTAAGTGCAGTGTGGGAAAGGCACCGAGGGTATCTGCTGTTGGCAGTGGGACACAAGTATGAGCAAACCCCACCAGCCACCTGCAGGGGATGCCCTGGGGGCCTTGGGGCTGGCCTGTCCCCACCTCCTACCTCTGGGCAAAGCCCAGACCTCCTGGGTGAAGGGAAGGCAGGGAGGAGGGATAAATCTACTCATGGTGTTAATTACCTATGTATTTTAAATGACTCATTTAAATACCAGGAGGTACTTAATCCCCTCCTGCGAGAGAGGCAGGTTGGGAGCACCGTGTGCTCTGCTGGGCGCTAAGCTGCACTGGCACACACAGCTCTGGCATCAGAAGTTGGCTGCTGCTGGTACACGGACAACAACGTCATTTAAAATATTTTTTCCATCTAATACTCCAAAGGTTATTCTTGGTGACAAGTGCTTTCCAGCTTGAGGCCAGGACTGAGCAACTGCTGCTCCCATTTGTGCAGGCTGGCTCCTACACTGAGGTCATATTCAAGCATGACCAGATCTCTTGGATGCTCTTCTGTTACCATCTAGACCTATACCTCTGTCCTACTGTGCTGTCAAGTGGTGGATGAGGTGAACTGGAGGTGAACAAAGGTCTTTTTTCCTCTAGTTTATCTCACCAGTGTCCAGGTACAACAATACTGGGTTGTCCTCCAAAATGTTTTCCCAAAGCAAAGGGCTATGCTGGTGGAGACATGCAGAAAGGTATCATCCCACTACAGCAGCTGAAGCCTGAAGAGGCACATGCAGCTGATGGGGGCTTCTCCTTGCAGATGGTGCCGTGAGGAGGCATCCTGTCGGTATTTGGGGATGGACAGTAGTGGAGGGGCCTTCCATACCAGGGACAAGTGACTTACAAACCAGTCCAGCAGCCCCAGACATGGAATCAGAGGAAATATGCTTCACAGAATATTTTTGTGGTTTGTCTGAGCTTGTCCAGAAGAGTCCTGATCACACCAACACCACAGTAATTGCCAGAAGGGTGACAAAGCCCAATCCACGTGCTGCAATTGCCTCCTTCCTAACTTAAAACCTTTGCTCAATGTCTCTAACACTTCCATTTCTCACTGTATTGTATCCCAGTGGATTCCTGATGCTTGCACACTCCTCTTACTCATCCCAACTTTCTCTGGCTTGGCCCCCTTTGGTCCTGGACCTAAGCTTCAGAATCTGTGGGGACCAGGATACTTCTGTGCAGCAGTGGCAGCAAACCAGCCCAAAGGGCCCCAACACCCCCCTAACCCTTCTTGGTCCCATCACTGGAGTCAAAGACAATGAGCCAGAGCTGGAACTTGTGTGCTTCCCCTTAGGTCAGAAGCAGGTGTGCTGTCTTTGGGAAGGAGCTGTCCAGCAGGGCAAGAGGGGGGAAGTGACCCCACAGGCCTGTGGAAGGGGGTGGGAGTGTGCAGGACCCAGTAGGGCAGTGGTCTCTTTGTGGCTTTACCAAGCTCTGGCTGCCCAAGGAAGTGACATCCAGGGCAGCCTTGCCATGGCTGCTGCCAGGGCTGCCTTTCCTACTGCACAACTGCCCAGCTGGGAATTCTTCCACCCCACTTGGTCATTTTGCATTGCACTGTGAGGTGCCCAAGCCCCAGTCTCCCCTGGTACCCCGTAAGCAGGCCCCATGCTGTCAGGCAAAGATAGGAGACTGGGGTTATGGCTGCATCAGCTACCCTTATGCTCCAGAGGGCAGGTAGGACTGCTCCAGAGGGCAGGTAGGAGGTCAGTTCTAACTCTAGCTCTAGGGCCACTCTAAAGGGCATTTCGAGGGTCAGGTGTCCAAATACAAATGAAAAAAATCAGTCAATGATGACATTGGGTGAGGAGGCAGCATGGTACTGGCCAAAACTGGGACACAGTTCCTGCAGAGCTTTTGGGGGACAGGTGAGTGTCTCTTTGTAAAACTCTTCTTTACCCAAAGACAAATTTTGACCATTTGACTGCATGCATGTAGCAAAGCATCACCAGGACAGTAAAACCTGTGGGGTGCTGTGGATGCCCTCTGTGGGAACAGTGATGGCCCAGAGGTACCACAGGCCCCACACCATGCATGGCCCTCAGTCTATGTCCCCATACCATGGTAGGCCCTAAGGGTCTTCTTTAGGCCCTAAAGATCTTCTTGGCTCTTCCCTGCTGATGTCAAGGTGTGTTATTTACTTTCCCACAGCAGTGATGCAGGGGAGGAGGCAGAAAGGGAGGATGTGCAGCCCAAAGCAGGAGGGCTGCTGGGACGGGTTGGCAGCTGTTATTGCAGGCTGCCATGGGAAGCCAATGGGAGAAACAAAGGCAGATCAGCAGCAACAAAAACAGCAGCAAAACCTCCCTTCTGCCTGCTAGACAGGGCCAAGGGCTGCAGGGTCCTCCCAGCAGTACCAAACCAGAGGGCTGGGGTGGTGGGGTCGGGGAGCAAACTACCCAGAGCAATTGCAACCATGTCCAGGCAGCTGTCCCAAGGAAAACAGAAGCAAGCAGATAGCTAGACCCGAAATGAAACAACAGCTTCAGAAAAAAAAAAAAAAATCTCCAAAGGCACCAAACCTGTTGTGTTTTTTTTCGCTTGCATATTTTTTAATGGAGTAAAAAAAAAAAAATAAAATAAAAGGAACATGCTACAGATGTCAGCCTGATGCAGATCACCCTTCTGCATGGAGGGCACCAGGGGCCCCATACAGTCCCCTCATGGCAGCCAGTCCTACCCCCACACCCCTTCCCTGCTGTCAGCTGGAGAAGAAGTGGATGAAAAGCACACGGTGGATACAGAACAAGCATAGAAGAAGAGCACAGCAGCGCCCCAGGCTGGGCTTTAGCCAGAGATGGCTATGCTGGCACAGGCAAAATAAAAGCTCGACAGACTTTGTATGTCCCAGTTAAAACCAGCAACAGTAACAATCTCCCCTTGAGAGCTGCACTTTAAACCCCTACACAAAACATTTGGGGACTCTTGAATTCTTTCTTTTAGTGTCACACATATGAGCTCTGGGGCTGATGGGCTGTGTGGCAGTGACAGCAGCTGCTCTTGGTGGCTGCTGGCACTACTGGAGCCAGAAGGATCAGCGTGCTCGGTGGGAGCCTGGCCTCGGGGTCTCTTGCCCATCTTTTTCAGGCCCTTCCCCCAAAGGCGTGGCAAAGGGAGGGTAAGGAGGCAGGATGCTGGATGCTTGTTAGCTTCAAACCCAGTGGCTCCCACTAACAGAGCTCTGGCTGCTCATCTGAGAAGGATCCCTCTTCTCTGCCTCGTGTACACGTTTATATATAGATATCTGATAAACATTTTGTATGAAAATAAATACTTCATCTGTGTTTTAAGAACAGTCATCTCTTTTTGTCCATGACAATTTTGTTCCCATTGCTTTTTCCCTAACCCATGGGCCTCTCTGCCTCCTGGGGCAGCCAAAAGCGCTGCAGCAGGCAGAACTGTGCTTTTTGGCAGCCCCTCTCTTACTTGCTGCCTCCCAAAGTTTGGCTTATTTTAGGGAACTTGATGAAAATGGTTCCCTTTTACAGCACCTGTTTCATGATAGAAGAAATGCATCTCAAAAACACTTTACAAAGAGTAAGATTTTACCATTCTCTTCCAGGGCTCTCAATTAAGAAATATGTTTCTAGATAGCACTGTTTATATAGATATAGGTATAGTTTTTATTTATTTTATTACCAACCCAACATTTCAATTTGCAGCTGTTGATGTAACTCATGACATATTCTCATGATGGTGGGTTTTTTTCTTCTTTATCCTTAAAAAGAAATGCATTTCAAATTAAAATGATGCTTTTTTTTTGTCTGTCTGGTGTTCCCTAAAGGTACTTGCGATAATGTAGGAGTCCTGACGTGGGTGGCAGTTTTCAAGCTCGTACCTGTAAATGGTGTGGACGAGGTGTGGCTGCTTGAAAAATGGGGCAGCAACAGAATGGAAGGGCAGCCACGCCACAGCTCTGGGTGGGATGGTGTTGGGAACATGTGGGCACGCTATCCGGGTCTTCCTGAATTCACTTCCACCTCTGAGCAGGAGGACCACGCAGCAAACCTACCACCACCACCATCCCAAGGAGACAGTGCTGCTCTCCCTGTCCCTCTTGTTCCACCCACGTCAGGATGTTTTATTTCCCCCTTGTTCCACCCAGAGCAGGATGTTTATGGTTGTAAATTATCAGAATTTTCTCTCCCTGCAGTACCATGAGCTCAAAGTTAATTATACAAAGAGAAATGCCATAGTCAAAATATACATGACACGTATTGTATTATAGGGTTGGGGGTTTTTTTCCTTCTTTTTTTCTTAGCCCAGGCAGGTGATTGAGATGCTACATGCTCCAGCTTTTGTCACTAAATGTGTGTGACTTTGTGTCTGTGTTTGTATTAAAAATATATCAGTCTTGTGATGTTCTTAAAAAAGAAAGTAATGGAAGGTGGCAGGGGAGGAAAGGGGTAATAGTGAAAAAGTTTTTTGACTGTGTCACAGTCTTTTGTGGCTTCAGAAATACACATGTTCAATTCCAGCACTGACGGCAACTTGAAGCTTTGAGTTTAACTTTTTTTGGATTAAGTATTAAAAAAAAAAAAAAAAAAAAGAATTTGCGTGCTCCCCCGGAACTGAAAAGCAATGAGTGAACAGAAAAAAAAAAGAAAAAACCCCCACAAATTCCTGAACCAGACTTCTGCAATTCTCAGCTTGTAAAAATAAGGAAACACCTCCTTACAGTGGAGGGTGCTCGGCAGGAAAGGAGATGACCCCCCTATGGGAGAGGTGGCCTTTGGAGATGGTTGAAACTTTGTAATTTCATTGAATAGGGTCAGTGCCTGGGTTTATTGTGTTTTATTTCAACACTTGCCATTGTTGCTTTCTTTTGTACCATTTTTGGATGGGTTTTGTCTCTTTGTTTTTTTCACTCTGTGATGGTTTTGCCTTTCTTGGCACAGCTGTCCGACCGTCTGGGCGGTGGCAGCCCCTGACAGACGGCCGTACCCTCCAGTGAAACAGCGCTTCCAGGACCGGTGTCCGGTGAGGTAACGGAGGAGGTGGTCCCTCCCCCGGCAGCACCGTCCCTCCACCGCCTAAAACCCCTTGATGTAGCAATAGGCCTCCAGGGTGGCGAAGAGGATGTAGAGCAGCCAGAGGCTGACGAAGAGCAATGTCGTGGCCACTTTGCAGCCCCGGGGGCCGCCCAGCTCCCCCCCAAGGTGGGGTCGCCGGCGGTAGAGGAGGACGCTGATGCAGATGAAGGCGAAGATGGTGAAGAGGGTGACGGAGAACGCCAAGGTGCCTGCTGACACCTGGAACTCCTGCCCCTGCGACGCCCAGTAGATCGCTGCCACCGACCACGCCAGCCCGATGCCCAGGAAGACGTTGACAGCGTTGCTGCCTGTGACATTGGTGATGGAGGCGTCAGCGTACATGTCCTGGACGGCTGCAGCTTTGCTGGCGAAGGTGTCTGGGGTTGAGGGAGGAGGGAAGGAGAAGTCACTGGGGGTCCAACAGGAGAAACAGACAACCCTTCATGTCTGGGGGACAAAGGAGGCTCAGGTGTGGCACCAACCAGGTTAGGACACAGACCAAGAGGTGCACAATCCCTTCCTAAGTTCAGAGATCCCAGGGTGCAGACCTTGCCTGGGGACAGGGATTTGGAGATACCCATCCCAGCCTGAACCCCATCACATGACAGAGCTTCTCCCCTGAAATCAGGAGCGTCTCCAGAGGACTTACCTCCCACCCCATCCCCTCCCCACAGCCACTCCACCTGGTACAGAAGTGCCGAAGGCGACGAAGACGACGGCGGTCACCGAGTCCTTGAGGCCAATGGTGCAGCCGAAGTGGGAGGCGAGGTCGCCGATGACGGCGGTGAGCATGCCAATGATGAGGATGGAGACGACGAAGCAGGCCCAGCCATTGCAGTATTCAGTGGGGGGCACACAGGCAAAAAGCACCTTCCAGAAGACTGTCAGGAAGTGCATCACGTAGTCAAAGCAGGATGGCAGGCGCTCCTCACCAGACTCGTCCTCATCCTCATCACCTGCTGCAAACAACATGGAAGGAGAGGTCCAGCATTCATTCCATTGGGGCAGCTCATGCTCGTCTCCTCCACCCCAAAGCTCCAGGGATTCTGCTCTACTGGGACAAGGTTGTGTGGTGCTGGCCCACAACAGTGAGTTCAAGGCACACCAGGTCCCTCAGTGATGGGTGAGGCTGGGATGGGGAGTGATGTAGTGGGGCGTTGTACCCACAGAGGGGCAGCCCTGTCCCCATCCATAGGCAGTCACATAGGAGGTAGTCAACCTGGAGATCACTGTTGAGTGGCATGAAGAAATTACACAGGTAAGTCATGTTTTGGGCCAAAACTAGTGGAAAGTAATAGAATTGGGAAATTGGAGAGATCTTTTGATCCTCCTGCTCCAGAGCATGGGCTGGGCCATCCACTGCCTCCTCTACAGCTGGGTGGAAAATAGCCCTTTGGGGCAGATGCCAAACCAACCATCAAGGAAAGGTTCAGAAAACTGCCATTAATGGCACAGACGTGCCTAAAATACCTTCCTCACAGCTGCCTGGCTCTGAAAGCAGTGAGCTCTCTCATCAGGTAACAGCTGGCAGGTCTCTGGACCTTTTCTTTCAGCAGCTGCTGCCTCATGAGGCAACATCTCCTGTCTTCATGTGGTAACCCCCCCTACTCCCAGGAACTCTACAGGCTATGACAGGACATCTCACAGATGTGCTGTCTGCACTGGCCAGGATCCCAGCCAGGATGGGAATTTGCGGCCTGAACACTGCTCATCAGATCACTGAAGCAGCAGGAGCACTGCCAGCTGACACAGCCTTTGAAAACTGGCCTTCTGGAGGGCTCTGCACCAGAAGATGGATCTCTCCATCTGGATGGGCTTCTCACTAATGTACCTGCAAAAGCACACTATATTTGGAGCAGAGGAGCCCTTTGGACTGGCTTTGCTGATGGGTCACCACAGCTGAGCATCACTGACCAGGGAGATGCTGTCATTCCAGGCTGCATGAATCCTGTGGATGTTCGTATGGATTTTCTGATGTCCCCCTCACCTGCGCTCACAGTAATGGCCTCCATGAACTGGTCCCTCCAGGAATGTGTCCCTACAACCAAAGCCAGGTTTGTCTTCCTAATCAGCTTGTCCACGGTGCTCTGTTGTGGGAATAAAGATGCACAGCAATTAAACCATCTGCTAGTGGGCAAGGATGACACTTGCACTGTGGTCTCACAGACCCTATCCAAACTGCAAGTGTCACAAGCACTCTCATACCAGCTACATTAGGCCATGACTAGGGTCGAACCCACCTTCTCCCTGGACTGGCTGATCCAAACTTCACCACAGCCAGCTTGTTTGCCACACCTCAATCTTGATAAGGTTCCTTCTTCCCTCAACCCTGCCTCGCCAGAGACAGCTTTGCTTCTGCATCCTCCTGCCCACTGGCTTCTTCTGCTTCCAGCAGGGTATTCTTGCCTTTCTCCCTCCACCCCCACCAACCAGCAGCTCTACTTTTGACATTTCTTGTAGACTTCACCCACCCTTCACTGCATTACATGCTTCTTTTCCTCTCTCCCTTTCCCTGCCCCCTCAGTCTTACTCTCCAAGTCTGCTTGGCAGTGCTACATGGTGCTTTCCCCTTCTGGAGGGCCCCTTGGACACCTACTGACCTTGAACTCATAGGACTCCTCAATGATGACTTCCAGTTTGGGGTGCTCGCCGAGTATTGGTTTGCCCATCTCTGCAATTCTCTTGGCTTCCTCCTCTTCAACTGTCATCTTCCTCTCAGCCACCTCTGTGGAAGAAAGGCCAACACCAAGCTGTGGGCAGCAGCCCTGGACCTCCAGGCACCATGGGGGCCTGAGCATGGGCTTCTGCCACCCCTTCACAGCTTGCTAAGTTCACACAGCATTCTGGGGGGGCAGTGGTGGGGTGTTGGACCACAGAAACAAAGGACCAAGATTTCTGAATATCATTCACCAAGAACAAAGGCAATGTGTTTTTAATTTTTTAACAAAAAAAAACCCTTTAATGTTTCTTCAGTCTGCATTGGTGCTCTTGGTTGACACACACTCTCCCATCACCCCTGCAGTAGCTACAGTTTTGGGGAGACTGAGGTACCAAATCATTCTGCCATTTGGCAGAAGTGCCCTTTAAAACACTTCTCACACCCTGACATGCTCCCTGATTTGAATGGAGTCTTTTTTTTCCCCCTTTGAGTAGAAAATTGTGGTTGGCTCCTTGTGCCACTCAGTGCTTGATCTAACACCCAGACACACAGAACCACAACCACATGCAAACCTCCCATGAACTGGAAACATGAACAAGAAGTAAATCATGAAACAAGTAGGTTTTTCCTTTTATAATACTGTGAGGGTGCTAAGGCACTGGAACAGGTTGTCCAGAGAGACATGAATGCCTTGTCCCTGGAAGTTCAAAACCAGGTTGGATGTGGTGTTGAGCAACCTAGGGTAAGGTGTCCCATGGGAGTGGGGCTGAAACCAGATGATCTTCAAGGTTCCTTCCACCATATTCCATTCTGTAATTCTATATGTAGTTTCTGCTGAAGGAAACTAAACCAGGACCCCGGGTCAGCAGTGTGCCTAGATGACCTTGTGTCAGGCTCAATCTTGTTGATGACCCGATGTGGACATGATTTTCTGAACCTGAGAGAATTTTCAAGCTCTCAGATGCTGGCTGTTCCCAAGGGCAAGTCTTGGGAACCCATTCTCCCTCAAGGATTACTAGTGTAAATAAGGAATTACTTTCCCAAAACAAGACACAGATGTTCTGAGCATGTTTTTCTCTCTTATCCCACCAGTGGGATGAGAGGGGTGTTGTTCCTTCCACCAATCAGGGTGACCTGGTTGGAGAAGCTTATAAAAGGGTTGACAAGACCCCAAATAAAGGCTTTTGGCCTCACAAAAGTGGCTGTGGTGTGGATGATTTCTGGGGACCCTCACTCAATACTTCGTGTCCCCTAGCAACAACCCAGCTAACCCAGCAGGGTGCCTCAAGAGGGTTCTGGTTGCCCAGATGGGAAGAAGCATCCCAAGAAGCTCGAAGGGTGCCCTGGCAGGGTCCCTAGGCCTGGCCCAGGTCTCCTCTTCCACCCACATGCCTAAGTGCAGGCACATGCTGATAAAACTGACATCTCAAGAAAGGGGCTGGGTTTCCCCTGGCTTTCCTGTGCCTGACCAGACAGGATGTAGAAGCTGCAATACAGGGCCCAGCTGAGCCTGGGAGTGGGAGCTGGAGCTCTTTAGAACCTGGGAGAGCATATCACGAAGGCAGAGCATCTTGTTCTGGCTAAGCAGTGGGTCAGACATGACCTGAGGTTTCCTTCAGAGGTTACAAATGCTCAGGTAATGCCTTGGATGTGATTAGTCCCATGTGGACTCCAGCAGATCTCATACTTCACACTAAAAATCACACAGAAATTATACAGTGCCAGTGAAATCTATTTATAAACTCTGACTTCTCTCTTCATCTGCCTCGCTAGATTGACTGCAAAGACTGTAAGTCTTGCAAGACCTTCAGAGTTTATAAAGCATATAACTCCTGTGGCAGGTGACATTGTTATAATCCATCACAGAAACAGAAAAGTTGCATCCATCATTTGAAATCAATGATGTACATCAAAACCATCACTGCCTAGCTCCAAGACAGCATCTTCTGGATTTAGGAATCCCCATAAGTTTAGAAAAAATTATAGACAGGGGAGCACAGCACCTGGAGAATAAGAAGGGCAATGCAGGATGCTGTGGGATGCAGGGGGCACCTTTTTTCACTGAAAGGATAGTTAAGCATTGGAATGGGCAGCCCAGGAAGGTGGTGGAGTCACCATCCCTGGAAGAGATCAAGAAACAAGTGGATGTAGCACTTAGTGATATGGTTTAGTTGACATGGTGATGTTTGGTCAAAGGTTAGACACAATGATCTTGGAGGTCTTTCCAACCTTAATGATTCTGTGATTCCATGATTCTATGAAAATGTTCTGCTTCACAGTACACTTGGAGGCATGAGCTGATGATTATCAAGAACAAGATTCAAGGTATTTATATCCACTGGAACAAGGAATCAGATATAATGTGCATCTCTTTTTCTAAGACATAGAAGAAGAAAAGTCCAGTCTCTTGCTCTTGCTGGGAGTGTGTGAAGATGACAAGCTGTGTCCATCAATGAAAATGCAAGTGCTCAGACATCAGTTGCCATAGCACATACAATGTGACTTTGCTTCTGTCTGAGCTTCCCATAACTTGAGGGTCAGGGGTGAAGGCACCCTCAGCTCCACAAAGCCCAGCTTGGCAGATGAGCTGAGCACATGCTGACATGCTGACAATACAGAACTGAGCAAAAGCACTACAGCCATCCCAGCAGGGCTGCAAAGCCCAGACTTGGTGACAGTCTGACTCACTACAACCTTCCCTGGAATAACTACATCCAAAAGCTGTGGTCACAGTTGGTGGTGCAGTCCCTTAGGCTCCTGCCCACTGGTTGCAGTTGCAGAGTGCAGAAAGAAAATGTCTGGAATCTGAGGAAATGCTCTGAAAATAGGGAATACCAAGTAGAATTTCCTCAGCTTAACAACTCCAGGAGAAACGATGCAATGAAACCTCAGTCCCTAATCTAACTGATTTGACAAAAGCCTTTGGCATGGTAAGAGAACATAGAGCCTCACACAAATGTTATGCCTCAAGGTCAGGCTGAACTGCAGGCAGGTCTGTAGGCACATGCAGTGCAGCAAGCTTTTTTATCTCCATAGGAAATGGTGTCCAACACAGCTTTATCCCAGAACCTGGCATCTTGCTTGTGCTAGTTTATGTACTTGCACCAAGCAGGACAGTGCAAGATGTGAATCCCTCCCTGAGGAGGAAGGTCTCCTGTGTGTCTTCTCAGTGTGTGCCACGTCCAGGGCCATTGGGCAGGCTGCATGGGAATGCCTGTGTCCACCTCACACCTTCTAGCATGCAGCTTTGCTGTCTCTGCAAGCCACCTGTGGATCACCTGTTGATTCAACAAGCAAGGCAATCAGTTGCCAGGCAGCTCTTAGAGAAAATCAAGCAACATAACCATGTCCAAGAGTATTAACCATGTCCAGCCTAGGGGCTGGATGCTAGCATGAGCATGGGACCAGACACCCTACGAAGTGAAGATGGTGGGAGTCCTGCTCTTCCAGAAGGCACCTTGCCAGCAGACTAAGTGCCACCAGAGGCACCTTACTAGGTAAACCACCTGGACTGAAGAGACAAGCTGACTAGCAGCAATGGAGACCTGCAGCCTACTGACAGCACATCCACACAGACATGAATAATGGAGGCCCTGATGTCACCTCTGCCATGTGTACGGTGAACTGGGGTGCAGACAGAAGAACACCCAAGAAGGCACGTCAAGGGCATCCTGTGGGGACAGATGATTGAACATGACTGCCAAGCTGAGTCTGTCAGTGTCAGCTGCAAGCAAACCACAGGAGAACAGGCACAGGGAGCACATCCAAATGGGTACCTCATAGAAATGCTAATAGTGGAAGCTTTTGGATAAGGAAGAAAGGAGGTAATTCCTTAATGTCTCATTAAAATGCAGTCACATTTGTGAATGTGCAACAGGAAAGCAAAGCACAGAAACCTAACAAATTTCAAAGGTGCATCTGAAAACATTTAAGTTGCCATTGTATCTTCACTGAGGCTCCATCCTAATGAAGGAGAAAAACACAAGACTGCCATGGCAGTACTGTGCTGGATCTTGCTCAATGAACTCATGCAAGTGACCCATAAGTGCTAAATACCAGGCTGCTGACTGTCCTCTGAAATTAAGGCAGTGGCAGGAAGGACCAATTTAGAAGCCCAGCTGATATTTTTTTTTCCCAAACCTATACTTGCCAAACAGTTACAGCAGGGAGCTAAGCACCTTCAAAGAGCGATACGAAGCACCTGCATGATTCCATCAATACTGCCCACCTACTGTTTAGGACACATGAGCATCTTGTGGCAGGAATCTGTGTCAACCTCTGCAGAACACCAGATCCCATCCCAAGTCTGCTCCAGGCCTGTTGGGTCCGCCTGTTTCAATGGGATGCTGAGGACTGACTTGAGCCTGTGCTTACTGACCCAACAGCTGATAAGGAATAAACTCTTGCAACAACCCAGTGGCAGAGAACAATCCAAATGCTCCTGCATTTCAGGGAAGCACTTCAGCCAGCACAGGGTGCATCAGCCTGCCTGTAGAGACACAGGAGGTTGCTATCCCTGCAGCAAGTGTGGAACATGCTCCCACACAGTCTGGTACAGGGCTGGGGTCTGGAAGGGCTCCTTCAGGAAGCAGAAAGAGGATGAAGTGTGTCACACATCACCCCAGTGTGGTAGCCTGAAAAGAAGACTACCAAGGATGAGATCAATGCAAGGGGGAGTGAGGATGGGGGGGACACAGTGAGAGGGGTGTTGGGAGACAGATTTTAATTTGGAAGGTCAAGTCTGTCAAGGTGAATGCTGCCAAGTTGCAGCTTAATTATTAACTAGCCTGATTTCTGTTTGTATCTGCATCAGTACCTACTTTTCAATGCGGATTGCACCCTAGACTCCCTGCTGTCAACTCCAATTAAGCCTGATAAGGTCTGGCTGTGCCTATCCAGAACAGAGCTCGCCAGGGCCTTCTGGGCTGCCTCCACCTCCTCCCTGGGAAGGAGAAGGTGGCCAGAGAGGGGTTTCCTAGACCCTGTCTGCTACAGCATCTAGGTATGTGCTACCATTGAGTGTTAGGAACCTTTCTGGGCTGCAGGAGCACATGGAGGCTGCTGAGGCCAGGCAAGCTGGGGCTGCTGTGCTAGCTGCTGCACCAAAGTACCCAGCTCCTGGTGCCAGGGAGTCAATGAGTTAGAGAGAATATGCTACAAGCAGGTGAGACAACGGGTCTGGTAAAATCAAAGGCTGGGTGGGAGGAATGAGAATGAAGGAAGCTTTTGCTTGGGCTGTAACAACAGCCACAGCTGATACCCACTAGGTGCTGGACTGTCCAGGAAGCAAGGAGAGTTCTTGGTTAAACCACTCCATGCTCTCATTCTGCTTTGTTCAGATCCCTAAAGCTATGACAGAGAAGGGGGCTGAGCAGCTCCTGGTTATGGTCCTGTCACTGCTGTGCTCTGCAGCCCTGGGCATGTCCCTGCCATGCTCACTGCTCAGCTTTCACCCCACGTCTGTCTCAGTCTCTCTCTCTCTCAACTTATGTCTGCAGGGCCATCCCAGGACTTGAGCTGCAGTGATCTGCAAAGCACTTTCAGACCTGCACATGACAGGCCATTTCTTGGGCTCAAAATACTGTACACAAATCTGCTCCTCCTTGTCTTTCTTCCAGGGAAAGGGGAGCACTGAGCTGTGTTCCCACATTGCACATTGCTTGCCCACTCAATGTCCTTCAGACTGTGGGGATCAAACAGGAGCTAGACATTGCCAGTGGTTTCCTGGACACATTATAAATCAAAGTTAGATAAAGTCCATTTCTATAGTGTAATCTGGCTGCTGCATCTTTTAAAGCAGGCAAAGGGAAGGCCCTGTAACACCAGCAGAGAGGTAGATGTTCATCACCTAGGCGATGCTGCAAGACTATCAAACAACCATGGACCAGTCTGTATTCTCTGACACTTGCTGAATAAAGTGGACTAAAACCAGCAATGTATTCAATGTATTCATGAAAGATTGCTGCAAAGGCCATTTCACTCTCCTCAAGCTATCTCATCTCCATCCATTCCTGGAGCAGGCAGGTATCTGCATGAAGGTCACCCCTTTTGGGGACTATCCTGCTAGGAAGAAATTAGAACAATTAAAATGGGATATATTTTTTTGTTGTTGTGGCTTAATAAAATATAATTCTAGCTAAACAAAGTAAATAGAGAGCATGAATGAGTTCCTCTCTCCAGAGCACTGTCAAGCTGTCAGTCACAAGTGGGGAAGACTTCTGGCTAAAAGACACTCTGGCTTTGGAGATTAGCATATGGATATGCCCTTTACGGAAGCACATGCACACATACAAGCACTGGCAGCCTAGGCTGCCTTCTAAAATGTAAGGAATTTGCTTACTTAGCCCTGAAAGCTATTTTTGAGATATGATACATCCCATATACATACCCCAGCGTCCTTTAATGCTAACTGGGAAATGCTGCACATTCATGAGAGGGAGGTTAAAGCACAGGGCTGGGAACTGAGCATTATTCCACTCCTGGCTCTGCCTTGAGATTGCTGCTGACATGACATCCCCGACTGGCCAGACAACTGGCATCTCTGCTCCTCAGTCTTTCCCACTGCCAAGTGGTCATGGGAGTTTTAATGCATAAATAAACATATTTAGAAATATTTTCTTTGAACTGAATGAATATGTAGAAATTATGATGTAGAAATATCTACCATTTAGATAATTCCATAGCCCTTTTAAGATCTAGATCACTTGAGCCCAAGAACTTTCAAGCAAAGACTGTGCTCAAGATTTCAGTGACTTTTGCAAAGGCTGGAAAGACCTTGAAAGCAGCTCTTCCACTGCTGGCAGAGGCAGGGACAACTGGAGCACCTTTGCACTTTAGTATCAAGTATTTCCCTATATTAAAAATATACAGAGAGATCACTGCCAGTGTCAAAACAGAAGGTTAAAAACATCCCAGTCTCTCAAGTCTCTCCACAGCTATCCCATACAACTCTGAAGCCTGAATAGTTGGCACTGGACACATGGGCTAGCATTGCATGGCCTTGCAAGTCTGGCTCAGAGAGACAAGAAATTTGGAAGAAATAAATGCTGAGCAGAACCGGTGCCCTGCCCAGTTACTTCACCTTGTATAAAATTCACAGCCCTGTTTCCCTTGGGAGGACCCTGCAGGGGATCCCCAGTCAGGATCCCTCATTCCTCCTCAGATAAGGGCTCTTGGGACAAGAGAGGCATTGTCACTTAGGCTCATCCATCAGGGCACCTACACTTTCTGTGAAGAGAAGGGATCGCTCTTGTGTGCAATCCCAGTATTGGGGGATGTGGGGCTGTGCAGCTGCTGGCCCTGCAGCGGCTGCCAAAGCAGTGTCATGGGAAGGGGAATGCCCAGGGCTGCAGAGGAGAGCCAGGGCACCCAGCAGTCCCAGGGCACACCCCCAGGAATGGGATGCTGCCCAGGAAGAGCTGTGCAAGCTGCTCCAGGAGGCAAGGGACGAGGCGCGGGACCGACGGATTCCACTGGAACGTTCAATAATGCAGATTTTAAACAAAGATTCCCGTGTGCCTGTGTAACCTAAATCTAACATGACACAGACTAAACGAGGACGTCGCTTCTCTCCCCACTGATTAGCTGTGATTGCTGCTGAGTGACACTCCAACACGTGCCTGCTGCTGGAGTGAAGCACGTGTGGGGCCAAGCACCGCGAGCCCAACACACCTCACATGCACAGAGGGCACCCTGAGGCAGCTTGGCAAGGGGGGCACCCCAGGGACCCCTCACCAGACAGAGAGGAGCCTCTCCCCTATGAAGCAAAAAGTAACTTTTCATAGCTGCTGACCAAGTTCTCCAATAACAGCTGCCAAAAGCAATCAGGCTGGATCAAAACAATGGGAGGAAAGTTATGTTATTTTAATAGAAATTATTTGGTTCCCGGAGTTCTGATCAAATTAGGCAGCCACTGAATTAAAGCAATGAAATTACTGGGAAGGAGGCTGAGCTCAACTTATTTCCAGTCCTCCTGGATCTGAAGTGGTAACAAAGGAAACCGTCCAAATCATTCCGAGGAGTTTTCCATAAACACCCTAAGCTAAGGTATTTGGGGAACTGGGGATTTCTGCCTGCCACTAGCAATTTTCTAATTAGTCCAATAGCCAGTGGGCTCAGGACATCCCCTGTGCTGCAGATTTGGCATCCTCTGGAAAGGGGCTGGACTGAAGCCTGCGTGGCAAATGCTGCTCCTTTGGTTTGCAGCACAGCTCAGGCATCATGAATGCTTTGGTTTTCAGCTCTGCTTGCAAACCTGCAGGAATTCGAGCCCCTTCTCTGCACCCTGCATGCCCACCCTTATCTTTCAAGAAATGCTTCTTCAGTGGAAATTCAACAGTAATCATATCTGGAATTGAAGGAATAGCGACAATACAGGGGGTGTACATTGCACCACAGCGGGATAAAGACAGACCACTGTAACGGGGACTTCAGGCAAGGAAGAGGGGCTCTGTATGAACACACGTGAAATCCTGACACAGTGAAAGGAGATGCAGAGTGCAGAACCAGAGCTGAGGGTGAGAAGGGAAATGGTGCTGATCATACTCTGGTAGTGCTGCTCTGCCGTGGGCACACCCTGGGGACTCCCTAGGATGAGAGGAGGAGAGCACACAGGTGAAGGCACTGAGGGGTGACACATGACCCTCCATGGGAAGGGGACACCTGCACAACCTTGTACCCTTGCCCACCTCAGGCAACACCGTCCCACAGTGCAGAAATGCCACCTCTCTGCAGAAATCCCTCCCCCAGTGCATCAGCACAACCCAAGCACCACCTAAAAAGAGAGGCCTGAGTCACAGCTTCAGACCAGGCATAGCTGCATGTGCTGCTTTGCAACTCTGTCTGGATCATTTCCCCCAAACTGCAAGGAAAAATGTGGAATATGGGAAATGCTCTTAGATGTCAATCAATCAATCAATCAATCAATCAATCAATCACTGTTACTTTCTTAATTGTACTGCTCTTAACTAGTCCATGCTAGACACAAACACCATGAGCTGGGGTTGTCTACAACACAACAAACACAAACGGGGGTTCTGACCAAAAGGGACAAAAAGAGAGCCAGAGCAGCCAGAGGAAAGGAGAAAAAGCACTTACCTTGCGTGAGCAGTAGGGCTGTGGTGAGAGAAGAACAAGAGAAAGACAGAGAGAGAGAAAAGAAAAAGAGGGAAAAGGTTAATATCCAGTGTGAAAAAGCTTCTTTTGCAGATGAAGGCTGTCAGTGAGCAATGGACATGGTGCAAGGCAGCGTGCGAGCTCACCAGGGCTGCATGTTGGGCACAGGCTGGGGAGCAGACACCACAGCAGCAAGGAGAGGAGACTGGGGTGCTCCAGTGAGCACCACAGCACTGGTTCCCCAAAGTCACCCCTTCCCCCCCACAAAGGCAAAGGGATGGGATGCAGCTGGGGGCAAGTGGCAAGGAGGGGAAGGGAAAGGGGGGAAGGAGGGTGGTTACCCTTGCCACTGGGGCCTGACACAACCCAAACTGACCCAAAGGCATGGGAGGTGCCCTTGCTTATGCTGGGTATGTGTGGCAGGGCTTGGCACAGCTGAGGAGCCCCAATAAACTTGTAGGTATTGGGAAGAGAAGGTGATGGACAGCTCATTGAGAAGAGCAGCATCTGAGGGAGGCACTGATAAAACAGATGGCCTCCAGTGTCAAAAGGGGCAGGGGGTAACACAGACATGCATCATCCCTCAGGATGATGCCCTGGCTCACCTACACCTATCCCACACCCCACAGGTACCATTTTCAGAGGGTCAGGGTGCCTAGAGGAGTACAGGCACATATAGAGCATCACTGTTTGAGTCCTCCTGGATGTCTTTGTTCCAAACTGCTGGTCGGCCTGACAGTGCTGCATGGACACAGACCATGCAACGTCACCACAGTGGGATGCAACTGCCTGACAGGAAATGTAACTGTGGTCCCCTGAGATTTGAGGTGGGAGAAAAAGAGGAGAAAGAGGCGAAGGTCTTTGGAAGGGATAACCTTACCCTGGCTTGCCATACAGACACAGCCTAGCCCCCTTGGGCAGTGACCCCCTGACTCTCTTCTCTCTTTATCCACTCCCCAGAGCTTCATAAAGAAACATCTGGCTGGATCCCTCTTAAGGGTAACCCACAGACAGCCACAGCTTACATCCAGGTACTAAGCCAGCTACAGCAGAGTCAGTATAGCAAAAAAACTCAAATGCTCTTTGAGGAGGGCCAGGTTTGTGCCTTAGCTTTTCCTACTTTTCTTTCAAACAGCAAACCAATCCCTGAAGACTTGGTTGCATGTGATGACAGTATTGTAATTACTAACACTTATTATCATGCATTTGTAGTCTCAGAAGCTTAAAACTCTGTACAGAGTCAGTATTAACAGCCCTATTTGACAGATGGTGAAGCAAGCAAAAAGAAGCTAAAGGGAACGTTCTGCAAACTCAGAAGTGGGCTGGAGTCCAAAAGCGCTAATTTTCCCAGACTTGCTTGTTCGGGCCTCTGAAAACAGGCACTTTTATATAGATGCACCCAATTGTATCTGTGCTATTTGAAAGTGATTTCCCAAGCAATTTATCAAAGGTTGCACAGCACATTCATGGCAGAGCCAGGGAAACTAATCCTGAGTCCTGACATCCAGTCACTTCCTTGCTCTGTTGAGCAGCTTTCCCAACAGCCTGCAGAGAGACATTGACCCAGTGAAGATCTTCATCCACTGATCCATCTCCCCAGCTGGAAGGACTGTGGGCAATCCAAGAGATCTCCCTTGTCCATGAGAGCAGGTAGAGGCACAGTGAAAGGTGAAATGAAGAGGCTCCTTGCTGAGCATCCCTTCTGTTTCGGGGTCAATTCCTTTTGAAAGCAAAAAACTTTGGGGAAACTATTTATGAGTACACTCTGCATTAAGTGCAGTGCCACTGAGCCAGAAGATGCAAGGGGATGTTTGCTCTGCCTGCACCACCTCCTGTCATCCACACGCCTCTCCTTGAAGTCTCTAACAGGCTCATTGGTACCCCTGGTAGCGTGAATCTGAAGTTTTCCTTGTAGCTCTGTCCTGCTGCAGTTCATGATGTCATGTGTCCTCCTTACTGCTCCATGGTCTTCTGGTTCTCCAGACAATGTGCAGAAATTTAATTTGCCTTTTGCAATTACAAGCATTAGTACAATGGGTCGATTTGGTGTTCATATGTAATATAATGAAATATTACTGGGACCCTAAGCTACTGTGGCTGTTAAAAAAAAACACTGGTTCCTCATATTTTTAAAAACTGTTATTATACTGCTCTGGGATTTGAGTTTATTTTTTTTCCCTATTTGCTTGTGAGCCTGAAAAAGAACAATTTTTCTTCCCTTTCACTTATGATATGATACATGAATATTTGAAGAAGCCTATAAAGCTATGAATGAAACATCAAGAATACAGCATGCAGAAAGCCAAGGGATTATTTTATCTTTATATTTCTGAGTGAATGCTGTGCATGCAAGCAAGAAAATGATTTCACGGACTAAAGCTTTCTTCCTGCACACACATCTGCTAATGTGCCCTTAGCCCTGACCTGTAATGTTTCCTGACAGCCCATCTGGGGATGCTGTACCTGTACCAGCTTCACTGATGGCCTCTGTGTTGTTCCCATCCCACAAGCCCCCCTCCACTCTCCCCAGCCTGGGCTGCATCCCTCCAGTCCTCCCCAGGGCACCTCTCTCTCTCCTGCACTGCTGCTCTGCACATCACGCTCCTTGTGGGGCCAAGCCAGGTCACCTCACAGCTCCTGGCATCTTAGGTAGTCTCAGAGGCTTAACATGTGTACTCTTACAGGGGACTGCTAAAATTAGCTCCGCAGCCAAATCCAAAATAGCAGTCCCAAGTATCCCTTACCTAACCCTTGCATGGTGTGATTGTGGACAAACACGTGTGCCTGCAGATAAGGGGGCTGCCACGCTGACTCACCCAGGAGGACACAAAGCCTTTGGCTCTGGATCCCTGTTCCTCCTTCACTGGGGTTTCTCAGCCCTGAAGGCTTGCTTTTGACTAGGTGAAGTTGAAATTGCATGCATGAACTCTGCTTCCCTTGCCACCCCTGGAAATGGACAATTTAGACCTGAATTTTAAAAAGTTGCTAAAAATCTGTTTACTAATAAGCCATTTAATCTGCATGGTTTTGGTGTACTTTGAGGTCAAGTTCTGCTGTGACATGCATGTTGGTGTGGGTTGCAGATCAGGAATTTCATTACGTCCTGTGTCATCTCCAAAAAGCTTAAAGCAAGAGGAACCTGGCTTGGGATTGAAGCAGACCAGCAGTCCCGTGGTTACAGCAACCCAATGTGCTGAATGTGTGTCCCAGACTTTTTGTAAACAGTGAAATACTTTTCTCTGCTCTTTACCTTACTGAGAGATTTGACTATGCTGCTTTATTCTGGACTCATTCTTCATTAACATAAATCTTTTCTAATCAGTATCCCTGAAGTCTCAGAGAAGCCACTGTGAAGATAAAGTTAAAGGCCTGGGATTTAGAGAGTGAGTTGAAATGAGGGAAGGGAGGATGAATTTTGAGGAGACTCTCAGTTATACAGCAGGGCAGTCACAGGATGCCAAAGGCAAAGAGAACACAGTGCCTCCACCCCCTGCACACTGGAAGGTGACCAAGAAGTGACCATATGAAGCACAGACTCACTTCCCCAAAGAGATAATGGTCCTCCATCTTCCAGATGTAACTGCCCACAGGCTCTGCCTCTAGATTTGCTGTAAGGTGAGTAAACTGTTTCCCTAAGAGATTGTGAAGAGATGTAAGCATGGGGTTTTTTACAGGCTAAACAAGGCAGAGATTTTGCAGCATTAACCTGAATGCTATTATTATTGAAGTCAATAGCAAAGCTCTTGCAGACTCCACGAAATTCCTCTCCATCAGGAGAATCAGCAGCATTCAGCCTAATCACAGAGCTGTGAGAAAATTATTAATCCTTGAGGGAGTGAGGTAACAGCAATCTAACATTTTTTTGCTATTCTCATCAGCAGCTGATGGAGCTGATGAAGGAGTTTCTTAGGTTTTGAACTTCAGAAAACTGCAGCACATGTATCAATACAGCTTATCTTAAACAGGTATGGATCTTTGTACAAAGTCAAATAATTTCATCAATATTTTGATACAGATGGATCAATCCAAGCTGGGAATCCTTCCTTCTTTGCAGTTTAATCCTTCCTCTGTGACTCCCAGTCACATCCTCCCTCTGGGCACAAAGCTTTCCCATCTGAGGTGCTAACACTTGATTAGAAGATGTGCTATGAGATCTGTCTGCACCAGCTGACTGTGCTGGGAGGGCTGAGAAGACTTCAGACAAAATCCTCCCAAGCCAGGGCACACCAACCAGCTGTTAACAGTGTTTGCTCTGTACTCCCATTTCCAGCAAAGTCTTATCTTGTGGGAGACGTGCTTTCTGAAGCAAAACTTTGCATGAAGGTTGTCAGTCCCTTTTACAAAACATAACCCTCAAGACTCAGCCTTCAAGCACCAGCCCTGAAGTTGAATCTTCCACCAGTGTGCCATAAGCCGAATTCTCACAAACTGATTCCCAGTAACCCTCATGTAACATATTTTTCCAAATGCCATTTGCACCATTATTTGCAATCAAGTGAAATCTTCCAAAGTAGCCTCACTTGCCATTCAGGCTGTATCAACACTAAGATTAGCCACAACTGAAGCAGAAAAGCAACTTCATCCAGGGAACGCAAAGCAAGTTTTTCTCTTGTAATCCAAGGCTGTGGAAAAAGTATGAAAGCTGATGTGTGAAGAAAGTATCACTCCAAAATCTTGCTGGGACAGCAATCCACAATCTGAGTTGTGAGCTGACACAATAGCAGAGTTGCTATGAGAGCAAGAGTCAAACCAACAGACAGCATCTCATCATAAAGGAAGAGACTCATTTCCCTGCAGGAACCCTTTAAAAAGGTGCTGACAAAAGGATGCCCAGAAATGTGGTTCAGGGTGCAGGGAAGTTTCAAAACCCTGCAGCACTCAGTAAACAATGATTCAGTTTACATGACTTTGCATATGGAGGAAAGGTAAGACAAGAAGGATTTGAAGATTAACTTCTTAGAAATGGAGAGGACAAAAAAAAGTCAGGAAACCTGGGAAAT